TTTATAAAGCACTTAAAACAGCTACAAGGCCAACCAAAGTGCTGTACAGACAGAACAACAGGTAACACACAAAGCAAAATACAAAATGAGGTAAATCAGAATATAGACATAAAAACGATGCAGATAATGACGACAAACCAGTGTGGAGCATACAGGATCAAAACACAGATCATCTGGTGTTGAAAGCTACTGAATAGTAGTGAGTTTTTAAACAGGACTTGAAAACTGAGAGGGAGGGGCCTGTCTGACAAGCAGAGGTAACTCATTCCAGAGTCTTGGTCCTGCTACAGAGAAGGCCCTGTCACCTCTGCGCTCATTATATATGCTATATACATGTTATATATATGTTGTGTATATATAATAGGGGTGCATCGATTGCAGTTTTCTGGCCGATCACCGATTTCTAAAAAGTCTGACCTGCCGATACCGATTTAGTTTTATATCAACACTGTCCGGTGTTATAAGTTCACAATGCACCTTTAATTTTCCATCTTATTTTATTGAAAAACATGCCCTTGAGCAATATCCTAGAAACTAAACAAGCTTATTTTGACTGGCCATGAGGTAGTGCTCTGAATGAAGTTCAGACAATTGTTGTTAAAAGTAAAAAAATCGGTTTCTCATGCAAGTATCAGACGATTTCCCAGAATTAGGCAAATCGGGGCCAATAAATCAGCCGTCCGATTTATCGGTGCACCCCTAATTTATATAAACTGCACTACTCGGTAAAGTTGCAGATGATTTCTCTGTATATTGACTGAAAATCTGGAATATTGAGCCAAGAAAAGTAGAATTTGAAATGTTAAAACTTGTAGGGGTCCTGTAAGTTAGTGATAGCCAAATGAAGCTTTTATATTGTTTTTGTTTTTATATTTTCTTAGAGCATTACTGGAAACTTTTCAAACCTGTCCTGTTTGGCGCCATCTGGTGTCCAACCTGTGAAGAGCAGCTTGAAGAATGAACTTGTTGTAATTGGAGTTCACAGGAGACACCTCTGGCTCATGTCCAGCTCTGCTGCACTTTTACATGTTAACATATAAAGTTATGGTTATTTGATGAATAAACTTATCTAATTTGTGACATTCCGTCTCCACGACTTTACTGATTAACTAGTTTACTGAGAGATCGTATTGTAACGTGGGTGTTTTCCTCACTGGAGGATAAGGTTGTCTCACTACGCTGCTTGCTGGTTCGTTATTTTTCTTGTAAATTTGCCACCAACCACTCGTCGGGTCCAGCTGATGGTTCACTTGTAAACCGTTGGATCAGGAAGCAGAGAAGGGAGGTAGCTTTGCAACATTTTTCAGGCAGGTCATCTGGACAGTTTCTTTTTTTTGTGCTGAAACGTTTCGCCTTCCATCCAGAAGGCTTCATCAGTCACGGAAACACGCAACACAAAACTGATTCTTCCCCCAACTTTGGAGTAAGCTGTTGGAGGAAGAATCAGTTTTGTGTTGTGCGTCTCCTTGACTGACGAAGCCTTCTGGATGGAAGGTGAAACGTTTCAGCACAAAAAAATAAGAAACTTTCCAGATGACCTGACTGAAAAATGTTGTATTGTACACCTGGATTATTGAGCCTGGACTTTGTTAGTGAGGTAGCTCTGGTTCTTTTGGGGCGTTGGATTTCAATGATCATGTGATTCTGGCCAAACGAATCAAGCGCTGACGCAGAACTTCTGAAGCTCGTTTTCTTAATGCATGTGGCAGAGCTGCAGCCCATCACTACAGCGATTAATACACTAACTTTGATTTTAATCTTTTCCAAGGACAAAGTACAACCTGAATGCTCTTTCACATGATGCAGCCATTGGGCTAATCCAGTTTGCTCTGGACAGTGGAGTTCAAGTTAAAGAGGTATGGAAACCAGCGGCCGACTTGTTCTCTCCTCCTCCTCCGTCTCTGACCTTCGGCCTCTGTGGCGTTCTGCAGGTTTATGTGGACACGGTCGGTCCAGCAGAGAAGTACGAGGAGAAACTCTCCAAGTTGTTCCCAGACGTCCAAGTGGCGGTGAGAGCAAAAGCCGACTCCCTGTTCCCCGTCGTCAGTGCAGCCAGTATCTGTGCAAAGGTACGTCAGACGTTCATAACTCATGTTCCTTGAAACACGTCGTAAGGAGACGTGACGAATAACGAAGTTACTGCTCGTCTTTAGTGCTCCGCTCACAACGGGCTCTTTACAAGTTTAACACGAATTGTGTTGTTAACTAGAGAAACTGCAGTTACTTTGAGGACGCACAGTGAATGCTTATTGCAGAAGAAAAACAGCTGACATGAGCTAAAAACATGCTGAAATGTAGCTGAAATGGAAGAACAAGCCTAAATTAGAAGAAAGCAGAAAGAACTTGTATTTGCTGAATTAGGTTTGAATAAGCAGAACTTATTAGGTAATTATCGGTTATTACATAACTTTTTTTAAAAGGCAGAAAGAAGCTTCAACTACCAAAAGGAAGTGGAAGGAGCAGAAATTAGCTAAAAAATGTGGAATTAGATGAAAAAGCTAAAATTATCATAAAACAGCTAAATAGTAGCTGAGATAGCAGAAAGAATTTAAGCTGAAAGAAGTAGAAATTACCATGAAAAACTTGAATTTATCTGAAAACAGCTGAAATGAGCTAAAAACTAGCTGAAAGGGTAGAACAAGCTTAAATTAACAGAATAAAGCAGAAGGAACATGTTTGCTGAAAGAAGCAGAAATGAGCTCAAAAGGTGGAAATCATCCGAAAAAAGCTGAAATTAGCAACAACAAAAAAACAGCTGAAAACTAGCTAAAATGGCAGAAAGAAGCTGAAATTAGCAACAACAAAAAAACAGCTGAAAACTAGCTAAAATGGCAGAAAGAAGCTGAAATTACCAGAAGTAAGTGGAGAGCACATTTTTGCTGAATTAAACTGAAAATAGCCCCAAAAAAGTTAAATCTGGTCCTCTGGACATTCAAAAATATAAAAATGTAGAAACGTTTCGTCTCTCATCCTGAGGACTTCCTCAGTCTGAGGTGCTGTATTCAGCTCAGTCTCTTAAATAGCACCTTCTCAGAGTGGATCAACCAGAACCAGCTGATCACATGCTCAAGAAGGACCATCAGCCTAA